GTTCGCTTCATGAAAACACTTCGAGCTGGATTACTGGAGCCAGAGGTTTTTCATCTAAACCCAGCAAAGAGTGACACAGACAGATTCAAAAAGTTAATCCGCTGGGTCCCATCCTCTCTATCTTGGTATGGAGCCTACATGGTGAATGCTTACCCCCTGGACATGTCTCAGTACTTTCGCCTCTTTAACTCAACTCGGATTCCGAAATGTGGAGGAGATAAGCTCTTCACTAATGAAAAAGGGCGACATCTCTTAATTATGAGAAAAGGCAACATGTATGTGTTTGACATCGTAGACAGAGATGGGAATTTAGTGAAGCCTGCAGAGATCCAGTCCCACTTACAGTACATTTTGTCTGATCCGACACCAGCGCCCACCTTTCCTCTTGGGGTGCTGACTAGTGAGAACAGGGATGTGTGGGCCGGGCTAAGGGAAAGACTGATAGCTGCTGGAAATGCAGAGAAATTAAATCTTATTGACAGTGCTATTTTCTGTCTCTGCCTGGATGATGAGACCATGCGAGACCATATTGACATCTCCCACAACATGCTGCATGGTGATGGCTGCAACCGCTGGTACGACAAGTCCTTCAGCATCATTCTCACCAAGGATGGTCAGGCAGCCATTAATTTTGAACACTCATGGGGCGATGGCKTAGCTGTGCTCCGCTTTCAGAATGAGATCTTCAAAGACACCACAGAAAAGCCACTGGTGCACCCAGGCTCTGTTGCTGCTGCTGTAGATTCAGCCTCTGCTGTGCACAGACTGGACTTTAGGATGAACAGTGAGCTGGAAAATGGAATCATAAAAGCAAAGGAGAAGTTTGATTCAGCTGTGTCGGAACTCACCATTGATGCCATGGAGTTCAAGAAGGGTGGGAAGAATCAGCTAAAGAAGAGCAAGTTGAGTCCAGATGCTATAGCCCAGCTGGCTTTTCAGATGGGCTTCCTGAGGCAGCATGGACAGACAGTGTCCACATATGAGTCGTGTAGCACCGCAGCATTCAAGCATGGCCGCACAGAGACGATCCGACCGGCTACCTCGTACACCAAACAGTGTTCGCACGCCTTTGTTTGTCAGCCAGGACAACACAGTGTGGAGCAACTACAAGCCATGCTCCAGGAATGCTCCAAATATCATGGGCAGCTCACCAAGGAAGCAGCTATGGGTGTGTATAAGACATTTCTACATATGTTGATCACAATACTTAATGAACACGAGGTGTTTATTTAACATTTTGACTTTCAACATTACAGCAGCAAAATGGATATGTCACTCCTTACTATTAATTATTCAAATACTGAATTTCATTTCGTAAAAATGTTTTTTGGCCGATTTCTGTCAGTTGGATTCCAGAGAGGTGCTGTATGAGATCAGTGTTAATAAAAGGGGGTGGGATGCTGTAAGTGAGTCTGGGGCTGAAACAGTTAAATGTAGATTATAGGTTATTTGAAAGGCAAACAGACCGACCCTTGACCATCACAGTGCACATGAGAGCATGCAACGTGCATGTTCCAGGACTGGACTCACTGTCCAATCCCAACCAATGTTAATGTGTATTAACATTCTATTCAAAAACCCAATCTAATTTTCTATGCACAATGCTTTTTAGTTAAGATTCTTACTTTTCCAGTGTAAACACAGAATTCATGACCTACTTAAAATTCCTATATACATTGAAACTTGATATACATATACATATACACTTTTAAAACTGGAACACAGAAATGGTGTCAACTTACACACAAACTCAGAGCTGCTGCACTAACCACCTCCTTCATTTCTCTCACCAGGACAAGGTTTTGACCGACACCTCTTTGCCATGCGATGCCTGGCCAAATCAAAGGGCCATGCTCTGCCAGGCCTGTACACTGATCCTGCTTACGCTGCCATCAACCACAACATCCTCTCGACCAGCACCCTCACCAGTCCAGCAGTGAACCTTGGCGGCTTTGCCCCAGTGGTGCCTGATGGGTTTGGCATTGGCTATGGTGTCCATGATGACTGGATCGGCTGTAATGTGTCCAGCTACCCTGCTCGCAACGTCCATGAATTCTTGCAGTGCGTTCACAAGTCTTTGGAGGACATTTTCACAGTCCTGGATGGAAAGCCACTTAGTTAAGAAACAATTCTTAAGTCTGTTTTATTTTGCTCAGCTTCTGGTTAGTTGGTTTAACATTTCTGCATTACAGTGCAGGAAGTAATTAAGAGCAATTATTTATAAGCCAATGGGAGAATTAAAGGAGAATCAGCATGTGAAACATCATCAGCTAAGACTCAAGAGTGCTGGTCCCAAAACAGATACATTTAATCATTTTAGATGTAAAACTTAGTCTACAATGACAGAATAGAGACAAATGTTGTGCCTTATCAAAAAGCATTTACTAATGTCTCTGTAATACATGTTATTTAAATTATCACTGTTTTTCATGCTTAGCCTTATTGGTGTGGGTGAATGTAACTTGAAATAAAACCTTATTCCCAAAAAATTTGTAGAAAGAACATTTCTTGTTTAAATGATCATTTTACTAATAATACAATACTTCTTTACATATGAGTATAGACTATTCAATTATCATTGAAAACTAAGCTGTAGTGTCTATATTAGCAAAGAACAAAGGCAACGGTTTTCTTCACTGTTTATTTAAAATAAAAAAGTGTTCCATCAAAAGCAAATTTACAAATGCGGTAGTTCAACAACAGAAACATTAGCTAAAGCAATTAAAATGAGCAAAATCCCCGTTTTAGATGGGCTTGATCTTGAAGTGCAGACCGATGAGACTGAAGACAAGACATTTCAGGTCTTGTACCAGATAGTAGAACACACGAAGACCTTCAGGGTCCCTGAAACAAAGTGAAACTTTTTAAAGCCGTGGCTCTTTATCAGTGAGAAATATACTGTGTCCACTCAACTTTACAATACTCACTTTGACTGGTTGACATCAATCAAGGATCCAATTTTGGAAGTTGTGAATGAAATGTGTTCATCTCCGATGACGATCTCCAGTTCCTGTGAATATTAATATTAACTATTCAATAAAAGTTACAAAATCTGAAGTGTTTTATTCTAGGTGTAGTGGGCCCAGTGTAAAGTAACCATTCAGAACTAGAAGCTGGAGAGATTCCTGCATAATCATTTGGTTATTGGTGATCAAATGTCTTTTAAATGCCTAGGAACAAAAAGGGATCTGTCCGTTTCCCTGCACACTGACACTGTACACAAAAAAGCTCAACAGCGCCTCCAAACTCAGGACACCCAGGACTTTCCATATTAGTATATAGTATTTACTTATCAAATCTGTTCTTACCTTAAACATCTCACCCTGGTACAATGACCTCAACACTTAACAAATATCTCCCACAAAACTTATCAGGCCAGCAAAATAAAGGAAATCCTCCCTGATCGGAGAGGAGCCATCTCACTCCCTCCACCAGTCCTTCCAGTTGCTGCCATCAGGCAGATGTTACAAAGTCCCACTGGCCCAGAGAAACATCTACAAGACATCTCCTTCATTCCCTCTGCAATAACCACACTAAACAATTTAAAATAGACACTGCACTTTAACCTGTTTTGCCAGCAGCTGTTTTAATGTGCCGACTCTGGAATTTTTTGAATATGTACAGTGTGTCTTCAAATGTGAATTTTGTGTGGATTTCTGTAACTTTGGTGTAACTATGGTGAGTGGAGTCACAAACCTGTCTGCCAACTCTGTCAGGAGGCGGCCACAATGCATCATCTTCCTTGGTGATCTCACTGTCGTCAATGATCCTCTTCAGCTCCTCCATCACACTTTTGTGTACATATGCCTGGGTTGGTACAGAGGGGAGATGAGAAGATTAAGAACTGTGCCATGTATTTGCAGTATAGCTACACCTCAATAATGCGTGCAATTTCATATTAAGACTGTGCTTGTGACAAATATGATTTTAATGGTTCACGATGTTGTAACTGAGAAACAATGACCCTCTCTACTACTACAGTCACTGTGAATCCACCCCTGAATTACATACCATGCAGCATGAACACATTATTGATGTCACAAATAACCATAACGTACTTTAATATTGTGAAATCTTAACATTCATACCAAAGAAAACCCACAAAATGGGGTGTAAAATGTTCAGGTGCTGCTAACTCCAAAACAAACATGCTTGCTAATCATTGATTACCTCTTTCCTGATCATGACGTCGTTCTTGTAGTTGCTGTTGTTTGCATACCTTAGTTTTCCTGCAGGAACATGGTGAGATTAAAGCAGAGGTTTGAATCAATGCATCACTTTTAGAACACGCACGAGTTCGTTACCTCCTCTGAAGGCCGCGTGGCGCTACTACATGCACAGGATTGTACTTAAAGCATAACTACATTTGCATTACATACATTTCAGGAATACATTCAGTCTAGACACAAACTAACATCATTTACCATACAATGGGAACTACAAGGAGAAATCGTTGCTAGCAAGTGGTTGTGAGTGAGCTGCGGCCTACACGCCGGCTAGCGACGTTAGCTCGGAGGTAGGAGAGCTAACACTTCTGTATTACCGCCAAATGTTACTCACCGTCAGGTCTGAATTCAAATTCCAGGAACTCGTGTCCAAACTTTCCCTTGTGACCAACGTAATACCTCAAATAGAAGTCGCTTGTCGACATGGTTACTCTCCAGAAAGTGTTCTTTCAGGAGAAGACTGCGGAACAAAACTCTATGAGCAGCGGCAGCCCGGAGCAGCGACACACCAGTACGCATGCGTGAAGGGTCAATACAGGAAGTGGAATTGTTCTGGCCCCGAGAACTGTCTTTCAGGAGTTCTGGCCAGCTGCTCACAAATGGATAAATCTAAGGAAATCCAATCCTTCCTCTCGAGAGGTGATACAACAGTTGGTCTGATTTTGTAAAGCAAAAATAATCATCTTTGTTTGTAATGGGATTCTATGTCGATGTATCAGTAACAGTTTTCTAAATTATCTCAAACCTAATTTCCCTTTGGGGATGAATAAAGTAATCTATCTATCTGATATAAGGATTCATTTCCCCTTGTGTCTGAGTTTTATTATTAGTTTTTATTATCAAGCTGTTGATGCTGTTTTCTTATTTTACACATTTCAGCTCCAACTATATCTTCATATCCGTAACTCAGTTACTGTTATTCATCACCTATATCAGTAGACTCACATTTGTAGTTGTTATTTTTCTGAGCAAACAATGACTTGTTTTTTTTCTTATACAAAAGAAATACCCATAGTCAGTTGTCAGATTTGTCTTTAAGTAACAACCATAGGTAACAACACACTGTCCTTCAATGATTTAACAGAATGTTATACCCTCTGCTTACACCCGGCATTTCTCCTTAGTGTTCATTCCGTAAAATAATACAATTTAATTTATCTAGTGGTTGTATTTGTTTTACTTGTAGCAATTAACAGGATTTATCATGAGTTTATGTGCACTCTGAAAAAATGTTCCGCCTTAAAGACAAACCCAGGAGCCTAATATCCCTAATCATCGTCGCATTTTACTGACGTCATCACCCGCCTCACTGGAGAGTCGTGCTTGATACGTTACACGTGTGGTTGTTGCAAACTTTTCCCGATGGCGTCCTCGTTCTCTCAGGAGCTCGAGGATTTGTTGAATCCTTTGCCTAAATTCGTGGATCCCGAGGACGATGGTGACGAAGCGACCAAAGCCAAAGTCATCGACAAATTCAATGACGACGAAGACGGAGAGGGACTCGGCCTCAGTGCCCTGCGGAAGCACAACACATCTCTGCTGTCAGACACAGACCGGCGGTACGTGGGGAAAGCAGTCTCTCGTAAACAGCTGCTGATAGATATCGGGGGATCTGGTGAGGAGGAAGATGATGATGATGATGCAGACGAGGAGGAGGAGGAGGAAGGCAGCATGGAAGGGTCGGACGATGAGGAAGGAGAGGATTCCATATTGAATAAAGAGCTTGATGATGATGAAAACAATCTGGAAGAAGATGACGAGGAAGAGTTGGTGGCCAAGACAAAAGCCTCTGGCATGAGCTTTCCTCAGGGAGTGGATTTCCACAAGCTGACAGAGGGCATGGATGACCTGGGAGTGAGTGAAGACGATGAGGGTGATGATGATAGTGACGAGGAGACTGGCGGCAGTGATGAAGATGAAGCCTCTGATGATGATGACGACATGGAGGAAGATGATGGTGAGGAGGAGGGAACCGTGCGCACATTTTCCAAAGAGAAAGTAGATGAAGAGGTCGAGAAAGGGAAAGCCGTGAAGAACCAGCTGGCCCTGTGGGACCAACTGCTCGAAGGACGAATCAAATTCCAGAAAGCTTTGGTGACGGCCAACCAGCTTCCACAGCCGCAGACCCTCTCGGAGTTTAAGAGGAGGGGTGGAGCCGAGATGGCGGGGGCGCTGAAGAACACACACAAGGCTTTAAAGGCTCTGCAAAGGTCCCTGCTGGAGCTGCAAGATCAGCTGCTGTGCCAGAACACAGACACGAGGCCCATCGCTCTGGGCAAGACAGGGGCTCAGGGTGAAGATGAGGAGATAAACAGCGACGAGAATGACGACGAAGAGGGATCAGCGCAGGTGGGCGGCGCACCAAAACGAAAATTGGAGATGGCAGAGTACCCAGACTTCATGGCCAAACGCTTCGCTGCATTCCAGCCTTACCGCAACGCCACGCTGCAGAAGTGGCATGACAAAACTAGGCTGACCATGGGTAAGAGCAGCAAGGGTTTTGGGGCATTTGATAGGAACATACTGACTCAGGTGGAGCAGGTGCTGATGGACAAAGAGAGGCTGGTGCGGCGTACCCAGACCAGACGCTCAGAATACAGAGTCCTGGGGAAGAGAGAGTCCTCTGCGCTCACCCTGGAGACTGTCCCCAATGAGGATGAAGAGGTTGAGCAGCAGCTGAAAGCCAACACCCATCTCAAAGACGTGGACGAGGACATCTTTGATGATGACGATTTCTACCACCAACTACTGCGAGAGCTCATCGAGCGCAGGACGAATGCAGCAGATCCCAACGACCAGGTGGCCATGGGCCGACAGTGGCTGGCCATCCAGAAATTACGCAGCAAGATCAAGAGGAAGGTGGACACCAAAGCCAGCAAGGGGCGCAAAGTCCGATTCCACATCCACAGTAAGCTGGTGAATTTCATGGCTCCCATTGACCACAGCTTAATGAGCGACGAGGCCCGCAGCGAACTCTATCGTGGCCTTTTTGTTCAGAACTCCTCGGTCAGGGAGTGACGTTTAAGAGGTTCTCATGTGGAGCAGATGCTTAGTGCCAGGATACCACATAGCCAGAAAGATGCTGCGCAGCGGTTTGAATGAGGAGACGGTGCCTGCTGTACGTCAGGAGAGCTGATTCAGACGAGGCGGAAAGTTACAGTGGTCTGACGTAACAAGAGTCAATTGGACTCATACAGTTCTTAATCAAGACCTTTAGTCTGAGGGACACTTCAGCGTTTGTTGTTGCCCTAGTGACCTGTTTGATTCAAAATATAATTTGTATGCGAGTGTTAAGTGGACAAGAAGGAAACAATAAATGTGTGATGTTTTCTTATGTAATCAAGTGTCATATGATTCAAGTCGTGTTTACTTTAAATTCCATGGCTGTCTTTACAGTGTATACTAGAGGTGTGGAAATCTCTTCACTCTTAGATGACTCTGCATCGATGCAGAGACAGAACATCATTGTTTCATGTTTTCCGCAAGGTTCATTGTTTGAGGTTTTCCGCTGCTGCACATGAGTTACCTAAATCAAATTATCAAATGATTACAACCAGAAATTAATATATGTAAGTCATACAAATACATTAAATACAAAACTCTTAGTGACAGATGTCAACTTAAGCAAACAAAGAGTACCTGAAAACTTTATCGTAAGAAATATGTGTACAGGAGAAACCCATTGAACAGCTTTTACAGAACACAAACACTGGGTGTCTTGTACATACAGCTGAATGCATCTTCATTTGAATTTAACAAACCTGCATCTGAGGATTCAAGTTTAAGGAAATATAGAATGAAAGAAAATATTTCGTTCGTCTTAATCAACTGCTCTCTGTGTTACATCAACATCTTAATAAATGAGTCACAGTGATGTCAATACTGCATTAAGGTACAAATCAATTAGTCCACAAGGACAGAATGAAAAATTATCTTTGGAGAGGATGTCACACATCAGATGACTTGAGGTTGAAACCGGTTGTTTAATTTGTCTTATAACTAGTTTTTATATGTGACAAAACAAGTACAGCTCAGGGGCCACATGACACATACCTGAAGTCTTGAGTTAGTTCTTAACATAAGTTCAAAATATGCTTCATAATGGAGCTTTGAAATTAATATTGATAAAGGAAATCAGTCTGGTCACACAGCTGAGAGAGATAAGCTAAGGCCCTGCCGTTTAACATCATGTTGCTACACCACATCGATGGTGTGGTTGAAGGCTGTCAAATGCTAGGAGATCATGTTTTTTTAGACACCATAGCTGCTTCTTTAGTGTCTCTGATTCAGCGCAGTGGTAAAGGCAAGCAGCAGTTTTAAATTCAATTCCAAATGAGCCCTTGTGGATTTCTCCCTCTCAAATCTCATAGACTAAGTAAAGGGACAAATGAAACTGCTTTACTTTAGCTTCACCAGGGAAAAAATTCTGTCCTTTCTCAATGCAAGCGGGATCATATCAAAAGCTTCAGGACATTAGGCCTTCTGATGTCCTGGCAGTAACTCCTGTCTTGTTGGCCACAGTGAAGAGCATATTCACCACGTGCAGGTGAACCTTCTGTCCTCCTCTGTGCACAGCGCTGTGCTCAGTGAGGCCGACTGCTGGACTCCATGTTCGGTTGACTCTTCGTTGTTCCGTAACCATTAAACCACCCGCTCAGCCGCTTGGTCAAACCATCATTGAGAATATCCTGGATGTGTTGCACTATTAGATTTATAGCAACTGTATTGAGAGATAAACAGATGCGTGGTCAGGGTTAGTCTTGAGTTTTCAGTGTCTCCAGTGTATAACTTTTAACAATAGTCAGTAATAAATTAATAAAAAGCCCCAAAGTACATTTCTGAAGATGTGTTTAGAAACCTTAAAGGTACAGTGTGTAGAACCTAGTGATATCTAGTGGTGAAGTTGCATGTTGCAGCTGAATACCCCTCCCCTTCCAAACATAAAAAAGAACCTTTGGTAGCCGTCAGTTGTCATAAAAACTAAAAGATGTTTAGTTTGCCAGTTTGGACTACTGTAAAAAACATGGCTGCCTCCGTAGGGACGACCTGCTCCTGATGTAAATACAAAGTATTTTATAAAAAGGGCCCATTCTAGGGTAAAAAATCCGTAATTTGTTTGATGGATGATGAAACACGAGTGAAAATATCACGATAGATCCTTTTCAGCTAAAGCTTACACACTGAGCCTTTAAAGATGTCTAACCATCTAATCGATGGCTCAAATATGATGGTACTGCAAAGAGACACAACTGGGGAGAGGTCAGAGTATCCTGCTTCAATATACTGCAGTTTATTTAGATGTTCTTTTCTCAAGTCAACACAGAGCTGTTCTGTTCTCACAGCAGCAGAAGCTTTTCCTTCCTTAGTTTTGAGAGCACAGCAGTTCCAAACCTGAAGGTTAACAATAAACACAGCTGTGTCCTTCAGGATAACACTGTTGCGACTATAGCGTCTGAAACATTTGGCGTCAATAATATCACCTCTAATGCTCTTGAAGAATCTCTCAAGCTAAAGAAGCACAAATACTCACCAATATTATCAGCTCCTCTTGGTATGATGACATCTGCATATTTCTTTGTCTATGTAGCATCAATAAGAAAGGGGGAAAAAAGAGGTTTGACTTTGAGTTCATCGTCACAATTTAGCAAACCTTAGATGAGTAGTATTACGAGTAGAATACGAATATGTGCCCACCGGCAGACAGAACTCCTCGAATGCAGGCTTGACAAAGTTGATGTACTGTGCAAGAATGCTCTCCAGGTCCCGACCACGTTCACTAATATCTCGCAGCACTGAAAATGACACAAACAAGGTTATATCAGTAGTTTGTGTGTGGCAAAGCTGAAGGCATAGCTTACCATAAAGACTGCAAACATCTGGCCTGGCTTTGTCCAAAGGTAAAAAAAAATGTCTACATAGTACCTCCAAAGCAAACCAAATAATTTTTTATATCCTGTTTGTGTAATTTGTATAAAAACCGAACCCACGGTTCAACAGGGGTTAAATGCTCGCAAAGTTATTGTGACGGGCCCACTCAATAACTCTTCCCAGCTTAGCAACACGTCACCCCTGTAAAGACACAACATCCATTCTTTGGATAATACAACAAAAATATGAGGTTGTATCTGTCAGTGAGCTTTAGAGATGCTGGTAGACAAACTTTGTTCCTCTGATCAGACCTAAATTGAATGTTTCCCACATTTCCACTTAATGTGCTTAGCTAACTAGCTATAGATGGTAATAATTTGTGGTCGTATTTAGCATACGGTCACAAGTGGTATCAATCCTCTTATCTAAGCCTCAACAAGAAAGTGCAGAAAGTGTATTTCCCTAAATGTCACACTGTTGCTTGTGGTTAGCATCTCTTTCAGAGCCTTTTGTGTGTACAATCAATGGGAGTTGTCTCATCGAGTTTACGTCTCACCCCTGCGAGACAAACGTGTGTCTGCATCAGTGTCCACAAACAGCTTCATTTGGAAAAGGTCTCGAATCTCCTGAGAGTAGAACATCAGGATACCCTCAAACAGCACCACATCAGCAGGGTACACCTTCACTGTCTCCTCCTTCCTGCCATACCAAACACATACGGTACAAAAAACCCTTTGAGCTTGCCTATGTAACATTTGCTGATCACAAGAGACAATAATGGAAATTGTTAGAACATAAGTTATGTCATGGAGTGAGTGATATTTTACCATCTTAAGCTACTGCTCGTGTCAGACAAAGAGGCCACAGTGTTTTGATCAGAGCAATCAATTCTACGAGCAAACATTGCTTTAAAGCTACAATGAAATGTTTAGGTTTTAATTCTTCATTATTCTAGTGCATAATGTACAAAAAAGCCTATTGACAACAAGTTACTTTACTTTAGTGTCCATATTCAAAAGCTTAGGCACAACCCCATTTGAAATCTTCCTCTATGAATTGACAAACCTATAAATATATATAGAAATAACATCTGTGCTAATGCAGGTGAATCAAATTCCCAGGTTAATCCTTGCAGATAATGGCACAATGACATTTGCCATTCATCCAATCAAAATTGAAACAGCATTATTTTATGTATAAATCAAAAGCACTCAGCTTCAGGTTACTAGCCATAATACATTGTTAATAGAGGAGCAGGTAAATTCAGTAAACCCGCTGCTATACGCTGGTTAAATTAAGTGCAACGCATATCTTCAAAGGGGGGAATGAGACATGAAATGATGTCAAAATACAGGATTATCATGCAATTACGATGCTAGTGTTAGCATGCTAGGGATTATTTTGAAGGTTTTTGAAATGGGATTGAGCCTTACTGTGGTGTTTCACATTTTTAAATGTTTTTTCCTATGTTCCAGACAGCCTTTCATTTCTGTTCATTTCATTATGATATTACCATTTGCATAAAATTAGAGTAATTAGTCCAGCACAGTGGCCATCATGTCTGCTTTAGAGTGAATGTTACTGCTGCATTATGATGCATCAGAGACTTGTTTTATAGCTCATATGGAAAAGATGTCTCTGCATGGACAGACTCATTCAAAGAGTCACTCACCTGGAATGGGAAACAAAGTCATAAACGGGGATGTGTACGGTTTTTCCCTCCTTGATGTCCCACAGAGTTGTGATTATGAGGTCCTTGTCGAATGCATCTAAAAGGAAAGAGTACAATCCTGTGATTTTCTGATGATTTTCTTTGGATGCTTCAAACACCTGCTGGGTTAATGGGGGCCTCAAGTCTCTGGCACCTTTACTTTGGGGTTCAGGGGTTGAAAAGTTTCAGGAAGTCCTGCTCCAGCAGAGTGAAATATCATCAGACAGCTGGTTAAGGTGATTCAGGCCAGCAGTTGCCCAGCGTATATGGTCCTGTTGTCAGAATAAACACTATGGTATTTTGGTGAATAATACTAACGTACCTGGGTGGTCGAAGTTGAACTGGCCCTTTAGTGCTTTGGCCTTGTGCTCCGGGGTGAGGACCCTGTAGAAGCTGTCCTGGCTGAGGATGGCCACTTGCCTCTGGTGGTGGTCAATCTCATTCTGCCCCAGCATCTCCATGATTTTGCTGCACACCGAAGACTGATCATACAAGAAAAACAAAACAAACACTATGATAATGTATGGCAGGTCTTGTCTGATATACAGCATCCTTCTACTTTCAGTGCAGAGGCAGATGTATGTCAAACCAACACATTTCAAGCAACAGCAACATTTTCATATCAACTTGGCATAGTTCACTCACACACATTTTTGTGGCCTTGAAGTTTGATGAGTCAAATCATTGATAAAAAAGGTTGCACATTTGTTTGCATCACATCTGAAACTGGCACACACTAAGATTTCTGTCTACTCCCCTTTCAGAAAAGATGTGAGGGGGAGCAGGTGGTTCTGTGAGCAGTTATTCGAGTAGGAAAAAACAGAAAAAAAAAAACAGGAAGTCAAACCCACCAACAACTGTCTGCTGAACCACAGGTTTAAGTTGTGTTCATTAATCCAACTTACTGTCAGCTATAAAACTAATGTAGAGAAAACAGGCTAAACGGCTTAAATAACAAAATCATGGAAATACTTTTAACTACCTTCACTGAAAAATGTCACACACTGGAGCCTGGAGACAAGTCTCTGACAGTTCACTGACCAAATATGTGACTCCAGAGCAGGAGGATCCAGATCTGACACCGCTCAATTATTATTATCATTATTATTATTAACAACAAGTGGTGCTGCTAACACCATTACATCTATGCATATCACACTTATTGTTACGCTTATGGCCACCCACATTGAGACTAGTTCTGCTCGAGGTTCGTTCCAGTTTTTTTCTCCACAGTTACCAAGTACTGGCTTGTTGTGGGAACAGTTGGGTTCCTCTCAAATGATTTAAAGTGCCTTGAAACATGTTGTGATTTGGCACTATAAAAATAAAATTGAATTGAATTACCGTTTAAGATTAAAATGTTGTATCAAGGTGTGAATACTGAGAATCTACTCTGCAACTGTGCAACAAATAAAGTTGGAAAACCTTTGCAAACCTCAACAACACGGCACCATATGCAGAGCAGAGAATGATGAAGCAGATATTTGGCCAAAAAAGAAACAGCAACAGTGGATACATCAGTGTCGCAGAGAGGAAAGTCCTCCACATTCTCCAGGAACCACAATCCAGATCAGGATGATAAAAAAAAAAAACAGCATCATACATGTATAATATCCTTACATCTATGTCCTGCAGACAGCATGACACAACAGCCAGGTTTTAGCCAGAAGTGTTTTATTTGTGGTCTCTTATTTTCACAGGCAGAACCCACACAGCTCAAACAATTAAAGTTTAAAAATGTGAAACCATAATAATGAGATGAAGGAGTCGCGTATATCACACTTCTTTATCAACCATACAAGTCAAGGCATAGTTTGAAAATACACTCTACTCTGTAGTGACATGCAGAATATAGGGATGGCCTGCAGATCAAAACAGTCTGATGAAACTGATCCAACAGAAACATGACAAATAGGCTACCATTGTTTTACATTGGTGGGGAAACACGATATCTGTAAATTCCATAAATCAAACAATATCAATCCCTTTGGTTCTGTCATAAAAAACAGACAAAGCAATATAAACACCAGGAGTTACACATTTAAAAAAAGAAAAAAAAGAAATGTGGCATATATACCCACCTTGCCGCTGGCTGTGCCTCCGGCCACCCCGATGAGGAAAGGCTGCCGGTTGGCGCTCTCATTGCGGGCTTTGTCACCTGGCTTTGTGTCGCTGTCGCCTGCCATGCTTCATCTGCAGCCTCAGAGCGATGCGGCCCAGCTCTGACACGCCGGCCCGTCCACCCGCTGCTCCTCCCATATGATGATGATGATGATGATGAAGATGACGAGGCTGACGCCACCATGACGACAGGAGAGAGAAATGATGACGATAGATTACACCTACACGAATGTTCTTGTGGTTACACTAAAGCAGGGAATCGGCCAAAACCAGCTCTTATTTTTATTATATTTAATATATATTTTTGTTTGCATCATCATGCCTGCATTTAAAATAATGATGATAATAATAACAACAACAACAATAATAATCATGATATAATAATACACTTTTTTGATGTAGGATCTTTCAAAAACCCTTTGACAAAATGTTTAAAGGTTCAGTGTGTAGAGTTTGAAGTTGCATGTTGCAGCTGAATACCCCTGAACCTGTGGAAACCTTCAGTTATCATAAAAAACTCAAAAGGTGTTTAGTTTATCCCTATGGTTTATCCAGTCTGGGCTAATGTAAAAAACATGGTGGCCTCCGTAGAGGGGACCTGATGTAAATAAAATGAATTTAAATATAAAGGGCCCATTCTTACACACTGAACCTACAACAAACACAAACAAAACAGAAAACACATAAGTGCGATTACAAATTTGGTTTAAAACTATAATAATAAAAATAATAAAATATATGCATAAACCAAAAGTCTAGTTAAAAGCCATTTAGCTAATTCATGAATGAGGACACTGACACTTTTGTGTAACCCACAAAGGGAGGTTGTGGTTTAATACGTTAAAAACACATTTTATTTAATCATCAGTATCTATGACATGAGCAGTGCATTCTGTAAATATTGAGGAAAACATATTTCAACTGTTGTCACTCTTTCTTCAACCTTATCTCTTCTTTTAAGTGTTTCCTGTGTGATGATCGTGTGGAGGAGACGGTGAACCGGAAGTGCTTCTCTGCCGTGTCTGCCCTCGTCACTAATGCTGACATAGCTTTAGACTCAGGCTGGTGTGATGTGCTCACAGGCTCAGTTCTGAGAAGGAAACACGCTTTCTCTTCCCCCCCCCACCTCTGCGCTCTGATCGGCAGCACCCCGTCGCCATGAGCACCATGTTTGCAGACACCATCCTGATCGTGTTCATCTCGGTGTGTACGGCGCTGTTAGCCGAAGGTGAGTGAGATCCTGCTGACAGGTGGACGAGCTGCTCAACGCGCCCGCCGCCGAGTCCCACGTCTGCTCCGTGCTTCGTTCACTGGGCGAGAAAACACTGTCGGTGTTACGAAGATGGATCCATTATCTTTCATTTGGTTCCATTGTTGGACGGTAGTTGCTAAGCTAGCTAGCGAATTCAGCCAACCAAGCTAATGCTCAAGTCAAACGGAACAAGCAATTGAACTTCCGCTAAACCTTTCAGAATAATATTTTTGTAAGCGTGTTTGAATTCGTCCCCTCAGTCAATATCGTTGAAGGGAATATAAATAAAAAACAACATTAAACGTAATATGACTATGATAATGACCACGTCTACACCTATCTGTTTTATTCGAATTTCCAAAATAGGACTTGTACCTTTTTTATTTATGTACATTTTAAATGAATACACCAAATAGCAAATACTTAAATGAAGGAAAACCCAA